GACTGGTTTTGTGTTCATTATATTGCCTACCATTGAGTGAACCATTCATTTGTGGCGATTGTAATCAAGTGTTGAGTCAAACCTTAAACCATTTGCTGTGAAATACATTGAGTTTTGATTGAGTGCTGAGTTTGTGTCCCGTGTCGTGTCTCCAGTGAGTCCATAGCCAAGCCATGGCTCAGACTCAGGGAACCCTTCTCGAGGTCCTCAAGAAGAAGATGAGGGCAATGAAGGATGAGTTGGAAGCGGCCAAAGAGACCACAGATGACACTCATCTCAAACTTCAGGATGAGTTGAGACGTCGCGAAGAAGTGAGTTATCATTACAGCTATGACTGACTGTGGGGCACACCATCAGCCCATCCCATCTCTCATATATGAATGCATTTCTTGGACTATCATCAAATGTATCACTTGTTCCCAAACTATACAAGTCTTAAGCAAACAATCATTTGATTTCTTTCATTCATTGAGTTTTTGACCACTTTTTAGTCGTATTTATCAATCAATTGACACAAAAGTTAATCATTTGATCATAACTTGGGTTTTGTTGATATCTTTGATTAATCATTGATTTCAATGAATATAACATTTAAGAAAAATATTTTTATAGTTTTTATGAAATGAAAGATAATTTAAGAAGAAATAAGTGAATGGTTTAGAGATAAGAGCCATAAATATGAGTCAAACCAAACAAATGTTGCATTAAACCAATCGATTGAATACTTGTATATTTGGCATAATATTTGTTTTATTTATGAAAAAAATGAATATTATTTTGAGTGAATAAATGGGGAATAAATGCATTAATTAATAGACAATAAAACGCTTATCAAATGAAATACGAGTAGTGTTTGACAGGAATTTTCGTGAATTATGTGTAACATTGAGTTTGGTTTGGATTCTGCACTCAATTCTCGCAAACTGATGTCAAATGTAATTATGTATTGATTAGAGAATATGGTTTAGAATTAATGTAACACTAATACAATGCAATGCAATGCAATTCGGGTCAAAATTTGTGTTGAATTCATGTGCGAAACAATTTGTGCGAAACTCTGTCTCATTGAATATGTGGTGCATTAGGCTGAAGGAGATGTGGCGGCACTGAACCGACGCATTCAACTCATCGAAGAGGACTTGGAGCGGTCGGAGGAGAGGCTCAAAGTGGCGACGAGTAAGTTGGAGGAGGCCTCACAGGCTGCCGATGAGAGCGAACGGTACGTATAGTCACCACCACCTACTCTGTCACTTCACATACAAACTTTTGTGTCGTCCACGAATTAATCATAACTCAAACATATTGAGGATTTTGTAAAACATTTAAAAACTTATAGATATTAGTGGCTAGCGATGAATGTTTGAAATGATAAACCAATTGATACATAGAATTAGAAAAACTTTGGAAAACCGGACAAATATGGAAGACGATAGGATATCAGTGCTCGAGACACAGTTATCTCAGGCGAGACTCATTGCTGAAGAGTCTGA